GGGGGGGTGCCTTTAAAGGACTATGGGTTCTTACTTTTTTTTTCTTCATTTTTTAATTTTTTCGGCGGAGTTTATATTCTTCGAAAATATTTTCGATGGATTTTAGCCAAAGTTTCACCGAAAATCATTTCTGCGGATTATTTTACGATGGTAAAATGTTTCTAATTCGTATTTTACTGTCGAATAATTTTCTATTGGAAATTCGCTGGAAATGCTTATTTCTGACGGATTTTGGGCATTTCTCAGCAAATTTTGTTCGCGAGTAACACATATTTTTCATGTAGTGAATAACTCAATAATTGCTTTTCGTTTAAGCCGCAAGTCATAGTAAAATGATAACTTGTAATAGGCATCAATATTAAAGAAAATTTATCTTTGATTAAGAGAGCAATAGAACATATATGCTTCCATAATTTAAAGGCTTGAGCAGGTGGTGGTTTCAAGGGGGAGATGTATTTCATTCTATACCACTCAATAATAGATGAATCTGTTGAAGGAAATCTCCATATGAAGGAACAAGTAAAGCTATGATAGAGAGCATCAATAGCAGGAATCCCTAAACCACCATTGATTTTTGATTTACAAATATATTTCCAAGAAATGATATGCATTCTTTTATCAATGGTATTACCATGAACTAAAAATTTCGAATAAAGCTTTTTGATAATCTTATAGAATTTTCTTGGTATAATGGCACCTTTACGACAATATGCGATAGTATTAGAAATGCTAAATTTTAAAATTTGTAACATTCAAGCAAATGATAGGAACTTAACTTTCTAGCCATCAAATCAATAGTAAATCTTACTTAAAAGAGGTTGAAAGTGAACATTTTTTAGCTTGTCCTTGGAAATAGGAAGACCCAGGTAAGTAAAGAATAGATCAATATTGGTGATGCCAAAAATTACATAAGTGTCTTCTAGGTGATCAAAAGTGTTGGTAGAAAACATGATAGAACTTTTGTTAATATTAACCTTAAGAGCTAATGCATCAACAAACTTTTGAAAATAAGATTAAGGTTAGTGACATTCAGAATGTTAGTATTCCTGAAAACAAATAAGTCATCTGCATATAGCAAGTGATTAAGGTTATTTCCAGTTGTTGAAATACCAAAAAATGAATTGTCTTTATTTGATTCAAGATTACAAGAAACATAATCCATAACTATATTGAAATGAAGGGATGAAAGTGGACAACCTTGCCTAAGACCCAAAGATGAATGAAAGTATCCCTCTAGAGACCCATTTATGCAAATGGAGAAATAGTCATCTTCAATACATCCTTCAATCCATTCTAAAAAATATTTTGGGAACCTTTTTTTCCTTATCCTATGAATTAGGAAATCTTTAGAAACTGTAATAAAAGATTTAAGGATATCTAGTTTTGCAGAAAAAGATTTCTCTTATTCTTAAATTCCCTAAGCACCTATGAGGCCAGAATTATTTTATCTAAAGAACACCAGTTGTGGATAAATCCTGCTTGGCTATCATAGATAATAAATGGAAGCACTTTTTTTATCCTATTACTAAATAAACTCATCATTTAAATATTTTAAATAAATTATATTAAATATATTAATTATTTTGATTATGAAATATATTAATAACATATTTTTTCTTTTTTAATATAAATAAAAAACAAGTCATCCATTTATACTATTTTACAGAGGTAGCATGATGGTTCGACGGGCAGCAGGGAGCCAAAGGGCGGGGGTTCGAACCCTGCTTGAGGCAGGTGTGGAGGGCGGGTCTCGCAAGGCAGGTCACAGGTGAGTTAGGCAGGTCGGTGGGCTAGCAGTCCAGCGGGTGAACCAGGGATGCGTGCATGTGAGTCTGGAGCAGGCCAGTGGGTAAAGTGACCCCATGAGGCCGGTGGCTAGCGGGCCAACGAGGGAGGGTACCTGGTTGGCCCATAGGTGAGCTCAGTTGGTCAGGACAGGGGGGGGTGGTGGATGAAATTATGTTTATAACAAAAAATTGCATTCAAAAGAAAGAGTGTTCATCAATAATTTATTGAATGGGCACACTCACTAAAATATAATTGGTGAGGTTATTAGAAGAAGAAGAAGAAGAATAAGATTTATGTTCTCAATCAACGTTTCGAAGAAGAAGATTTATGATCTCAATCAATATTTTGGTAATTTTTCTTCATTCCATATTTTAAACATAATTATTTATCAAGAAAATTAAAATTTAGAAAATCTGACGGAGTTTATATTCTTCGAGGGGAGAGATGTATTTCATTCTATACCACTCAATAATAGATGAATCTGTTGAGGGAAATCTCCATATGAAGGAACAAGTAAAGCTATGATAGAGAGCATCAATAGCAGGAATCCCTAAACCACCATTGATTTTTGATTTACAAATATTTTTCCAAGAAATGATATGCATTCTTTTATCAATGGTATTACCATGAACTAAAAATTTCGAATAAAGCTTTTTGATAATCTTATAGCATTTTCTTGGTATAATGGCACCTTTACGACAATATGCGATAGTATTAGAAAT